TTTCCTACCGTAAATATATCAAAACTTACATTACCTTTTACATTACCATAATGTAAAATATTTATTTAAACACATTAAATAATTAAGATATCACTAACAGGTAAAGTAAAATAAGAGTATATATAGTAATAGTCTAATATTTCGTGAAACTGAACTGAAAATGTTCGGTATGAATACATGTGCCGTTACACCCCTATAAATTACCCTTAATACTAAAAACAGAAATATGAATAAAAACTAGTGAAATAGAGCTCAGCAAACCATCCACCATCTACTGGAAAACAAACACTTTTAAAATAAAAAATGACCAGATGGCTCTAGAGCATTACTCATCGCTCGTTTGTCACATTTATTAATCTTTACTTTAGTTTTAATCAATTCAACATCAAGTTAAACTAAATGAATATGGAAAAGTTTATTTTAAATGTTATTTTATTTCAAATAACGACATTTTTAATAGTTTTAGTTTAACTATTGATGTTTCCATCCACCTATTTTTATGCACATTTTGGGATTTCGCATAAAAAAACTGCTGGATGGAAATGCTAAGATGCACATAAATTCTAAATATGCGCATAAAAACCTTAAGCGCTTAACTAAGCAGGATACATTTCTTATCCGGTAAGTTAATCAGGAAGTGACGATTTTGCTCTCTTCAACTCCCTGGATGGAAACGGTGCTTTAGTCGCAAATATTTTATGCGATATTCCAATTTTGCGCACAAGATAAATTCGTAACTTTGGATGGAAGCATTGCTTATGATAACCCTGCGTTGAACTGTGAAAGTGGGCCAATCGGAACAGCGTTGCTATGACTACAGTGGGCGGGGCTTGGCTGGCCGGCCACTCACAGGGCAGGATGTTGGTGTAGCGGTTCTTGGGTCTGTTGACAGGCAGATCGGCCGCTTCATGAGACAGATCCAGACCGACGCTCTTCAGCTCCTGACAGAAGCACAAAGCAAACAGATCAATCGCACGCCTGACGCCGACAGACGAGTGTTCAAGTGCGTTTTACCTCGAACTGCAGCGAGAACTTGTACGCCGAATCTTTGCTCATGTCTTTGATGTAAGCATCGAAATCACTGAGCTGAACGGGACTGAAGACACACACATCGTCACATCACACAGAAACAAAATCAATACAGTCATCTCTAGGGATGTAACGATACTATCAATATCGAGATATCGCGATATTATCGTGGTCACATGACGATATGAAACGTTTTTGCCACCGTATTAGTGTAGTAGTAGTGAGACGTGTTTTTGTAAGCATGTTTTCACTGAAGCTGGAGTTTTCCGTCAAATTAAAAGCTTTAAGTGCAGTACGAATTGCTGACAGCTAGCGGTTTAAACACAATTAAACATTCAAAATATCTCTTTCAAGTGTAGAAATTAGGAAAGAAGAATTGTAATTAATTTCCCTACTGTAGTGTAAAGCAAAAATAGTATACCTATGAAATATTAATTTTAATTTATTTTACAGTGCAATTGTTATATGGCTTCTGCCGTCATTGTTGTTATTATTATTCTATTCTAATTCGTTTGGCTTCCTAAAACACCAGTGTGAATGCAATTTAGACTGAGACAGTATATCATAAATAAAAAGAGGGTTAAGTCCGCTTTAAAGTTCAGGTACAAGTCAATTCACTGACTTTCTTCTGACTCAAGTTGCTTAGTTAAGAACAAGGGTTGGAGCTCTTAATTTTGAACTCTCAAAGTGCATTAGATAGAATTATTTAACTTTAAAATGTATAAAATGTAAATTTTTTCACAATTCTTCATTTGTGAGCCTGCAGCACAAAAGCAGTGTTAAGTCGCTGAGGGATATTTGTAGCAATAGCCAACAATACATTGTATGGGTCACAATTATACATTTCTCTTTTATG